GGGCAGGACAATGCCGCCGGGCCGGCGCGCGGGGCCGTAACAAATCCTCCCTGGCACCGTAGGGCCCTCATTTGTGAAACTAATTGGCCCCCGCTTGAAAAAAAAAACGGGCCGACTCCAGCAGCCGCAGCGATGGGGACGAGCTGCCTCGTGCACGCACGGGGGGATGCACCCGCTGGTCCACAGGGACGGTGCTGGTCCCCCCGGAGATGGGCATCCCCCCCAGGGGTGCTGCTTGCCAGGACCCGCAAAAGGCATTTTTAAATTTTATTTATTTATTTTTTTTTTAGGTAATGCATTAGTAAATAAACAAACACCCCAAATGGGGAGGTCGAAGTGCACTGGCACAGCTTGCGGAGGCACCCGGCGCTAGCCGCCCTCCGAGAGCAGAGCATCTGCAGGGTGTGAAGGCTGATGCCAGCCCGGCGCAGAGGCGGACGATGCAGCAGGCGGCCCTGCGTCCCAGCATCCAGCCCAGCGCCCAGCAGCGGGACGCGGAGGAGCGAGGTCGGACACCGCTTGTTTGCAGCCCTGAGGCTCCGCCGATGTGGCTCTCCAGCCGCCGCGGAGGCACCAAGCAGGGGCTCTGCCGGGCACCGTCCCCGCTGCGGGCGTTCAATTAAGTTGATTTTTTTTTTTTCCCTAAGCTGCACGCGCAGCGATGTCCCACCTTCGGAGAGAGGATGGGAGGTGGGAAAAAAAGGGAAAGCTCGCGAGAGGGTGCCTGGGGTCGCTGCCGTCCCTGCTGCAGGCCAGGCTTTGGCAGTACCAGGCTTGCCGCAAGGAGAGCCGCACCGGCCCTCGCGGGGACCGGGCGCTCTCCGCCCAGCCGGAGCGCATCCCTGGGCTCCCACCCCAAGCGCATCCCTGGGCTCCCAGTTGGAGCAGCCCCGAGCCAGCCCTCAGCCATGGGAAGAAAAATCACCCCCGGTAGAGAAACGCCGCCGCCCCAAACCAGCGAGAGACGGATTTATTCATTTCCCTGACGTTTTAATGGTTTCTCCCCTTTTTGCGGGAAGATGATTACAAATTAAGCGGCATTTAAACGCTTTTTACTGTCAACAATTAAAAGGGGCGAAGGCGGGCGAGCAATTCATTCCCCGGGAAACGCAGCAGCTCTCGGCGGGCGCCGCCGGCCCTTCCCTCTACTGTACGCCGCACAATGGCCCCGAGCGCGCCATTAATTTTGCAGGACGTTCAAAAGCAAATTAAAATATAAAAAGCCCCCGGGCACAAAGATAGATACCGAGGGAGGGGGTGGCGTAGGTCAAGCTCGCGGAATTAAAGTCTTAGCAACCGGGGAGGTTTAAGCGCAGCCCCGTTACGCCGCGTTCGGCAGCCACCTTCACCCATCTTCCCCAGTTTTACGTATCTCTGCCAGACCCGGCGCTGGTTGCTGGCAGCCGTGAGCATTGACGGGGCGGCTATCGGCGCTGCCGTGGAGGCGGAGGTCAGAGCAGGTTGGGTTTTGGGTGCTATTTGGGAGAGCACACCGGCTGCACCGTGCGAGGCCGTTTTAAACAGCAGGTGGTCCGAAATCTGGTTTTTAGGGGATGGATGCTTGTTCCACGGAGGAAAAACTCTACGGCTGCAAGCCTGGAGGTGCACATCCCGGTTCCCCGGCAGCTCGCTCCCAAATAAGCACGATCGCCAGGGATGCAAAGACAAGCAAGATGCGACACGCGACGTTCAGGGGCTTTTCCGCCCCTGTCCAGCTCGTGGCAAGGGGTGCTGCAGGCATCACGGCGTCGAGCGCAGCGCCGTCTCCCACCCGCTGCCTCCACGAGAGGAGGAATTAAAATAAAAACCCGCCTGGCGGCGGGCGAGGGAGGCAGGGTGGGTCACCCTTCGGAAAGGAGCCGGGTGTGCTCCCGCACCGTGAAGTTTAGGATGCGGGAGGTGCGCCAGCGGGAGAAAGGCGACACGTCCCCTTTAAAAGGAAATATAATTTACAGTGTGCAGCCAGGCGGCCCATAGTTTCAATCTCGTTTACTATAGAGAAAACTCTGCTAGCTGTTCTCTATCCCACAAATCCGATTTAATCAGACAAGCCAGCCAGCGTGGCTTGAAGTAAAAACGGATAATTAGTAAACAGAGAGCTACTTCAGTGCTTCATTGGCATTCGAGCCGGGCTAGTGTGTCGCATTTAAAATGCAGTCTGATGAAGTTTACAAAATCAAACCATTTGTTACTCCTATTGAAGAGGCTTCAGGCCACTTGCAATTAAATTGGAATTAGTGCTCAGAATGAGATACAGCAAATTCATACTAAAAAGGGGTCTGACTTTCAGACATTTGACTTCAAGTTTTTCCCCTCCATGCGTGCGCACGCGTGCGCGCTCCTGCCGGCTCCCTGCCAGCCCCCCAGACCCTGCGGCAGCACCGCCGAGCCCGGACCCCCGGCGCAGGCAGGTGTAGGGCGACCCGGGGACCAGGGGTGCTCCGGCAGCAGGGGAGCGGGGACCGAAGGGGACCGATGCCACCGTGCCAGTGAAGCGTCCTCCGCTGAGCCCCAGCCGTGGCAGCACGGCTCCGGCGGGGCCCCCCAGCCGCCGACGTCGGGATGCGCAAACCAAACCGCCCCTCCCCGAATCCTCCTCTTAACGCTGTCATCTTTTCCCTGCCTCTCCTCAGAGCAGTGTTACGAGACTCGAAAAATGAGGCAGATCTGTCCATCCATTTCAGCAATCATCGATAGCATTAGAAACCCGTAATCAAAGGCTGCGGAGGGGCAGGCCGGGAAGGCTCTGGCGTTACAGCAGGCACGGGGGCGCACGCATCGAAGGATGCCGACGGAGCCCGTTGCTGCCTCTCGCGCCCACCGTAAAACCCCCAAGCCCTCGACTCGTGTCCTGCAAATTCGTGGTCTTCAACAAGACTCACGCCTCCTTCAATCTTCGTATTTAACATAATCTCTTACGTGACGCACGTGCCAAAGAGGTGCACTAAAATTGCCGCTATCGTTAGGACCGAGGCAGACGGCTCCAAAACGTTCCGGCCATGCAAAGTAGGAGCCCAAGGGCTGCTGGCTCTCCCCAGATGACATTTCAGGGACGTCTGATGTTTTTTTGTCAGCGTGTCAAGGGCTCCCCAGCAGCCTCCACCTCCCGGACAATGCTGCTGGCTGCAGCTGCAGGGGAGGCTGCAGGCTGCTTGCGTGCGTGAAAAGCAGCGTTAGGGGAGGACGGTGTTTTTAGCATCCTCGGGGCCGTGGAGGCAAGTGGATGAAACCGTCGGCGT